AGGAGTCCTCCTGCTGCTTCATCCAGGCTGTATTCCTCACTTTCCATGTCTGGCAGGCCCATACAGGCAGATGTTGGAGGGTTAAGCCCCAGCAGAGGGAAAAAAAGGTGCAGTTCAACTGTGTCACTCGAAACGTTGCAGAGCAGCTGGTCCCCTTGACGCTGCTGCTTGTGGTAGGGGATCTGATTAAAGGACAAGCTATAAAGTAATTTGGCTGCAAGAAACTGAAGGAGGGTATATCGAATTCAGCCCATCGAAGGGCGTAGGACCGGAGAGCCATAGCTTTATGCCCTGGAGTTGTGGTGCATGTCCACAGCTCAGTCCTGGTGGGACACCAAGGAAGAAAATGAGGAAGAGATGTTACTTGCTCAGAAAAGGCTTGCCCAGGGTGGAGATATATTTTTTTATTATTATTATTTGCATAAAACCATACCTGATTGCTTCTCTCTCCTGTGCTTTTCAGGAGAGCTTCCCAAAGGGAAGGAGGGCAGCGAGCAGCACTGCAGTTACGCCTCAACCTTATCAAGAAGTTCTGCCCGTAGTGGGAAATGTGCTCTGTGTGTGAGCAAATTGTGAAACTGGAGGGAAATGCTCTGCCTTTGGTGCTCCAAATCTCCCTTCATACTCTCTCCTTGGCTGAAAAAAAAACCCAAGGAACTGCACCTATAGTCCCAAACCTGGCCATGGAAAAGTGTAGGGCTCAGAATCTGCAAGGATTTACACATGTTCGGAGCTCTAAAATGAGATAGATACGGAGGGGCTGCTCAGGTCTAGAGCTTGTTGTGTTTCAATATCTTGCAGAATCTAGGCCTGAAGGAATTCTGCTGTCAGCTACAAAAAGTGGGATTTTGAAAATCGTATTTAGGCCAAGAGACCCATGAGAAATAGATATATCAGAGGACAGGGGTGGGAGAAAGAAACTTGAGAGCACACGTAGGTGTTTCATGATCTAGATCAGTAGTCCCTCAAGACCGCAATGAAACCCAAGACAGTTGTGTTAATGTTCAGAAGAGAGCTCCCACGCCAGGGCTCCGCGTTCAGGCCCGGCGCTCGTAACCGCTCGTTCCTTGTTTTTCCACAGACCTTATTTTGAACTCAAGGCCAAGTACTATGTCCAGCTAGAGGTACGTATGCACTTCAGATGCATCTGAAACTCATCACTGCTGATGGTAAATATTAAAATGAAATGTGAAGTGCTCCGATAATAACTTTGTGGAGTTTCAGTACAAAAGCAATTCTGTTTGAAATCTCTTATCTCGACCAATTTACTAAGCACACTCTAAAGATAAAAACTGGAGAGGATTTGTTTCCTCATGTGAAGGAGGAGGGCTCCAGCTCCCTCTTCATATCCTGCTCGCCGGCACTTCCATATACGAGAGTAGTGGTGATACCTGCTGCTCTGGGTGTGTGGGATGGGTGCGGGCACATGGGGGGCACAAGTCAGTTGAGTACTTAATGGGAAACTGAAGATGGTACTTGAGGCCATTCATAATGAAAGCTCCTCTGATATCTGTCTTTCTTGTTAGCAATTGAAGAAAACAGTGGATGACCTGCAGGCAAAACTGGCCCTGGCAAAGGGAGAGTATAAGACTGCTTTGAAAAACCTGGAGATGATCTCAGATGAGATTCATGAGAGGAGACGGTCCACGGCCATGGGACCTCGAGGCTGTGGCGTGGGTGCCGAGGGGAGCAACACCTCTGTGGAAGACCTGTCTGCAAGTAAACCAGAGTCGGACACCATCTCAGGTGAGAGAGCATTGCCCTGCTAGGGAGCGTCCTGTGGCCTTCGTAAGAGATGTCAAGATGAAGGCTACTGGGCGCACTGCCTGGCTGTGATTACGCCATTTTTTACTGGAGTTTATCGGGTTTTTGATAGCCAAGTTTCCCAGGAAAAGGCGGCAAGTCAAAGTGCCTCAGCTGTTGCCTTAGCAATGCTGCAGAAAGGAATGAAAGGAATAAAACTAATCCACATAACAGCATGCTGCTAGTTTTGAAGCGGGCAATGCTGCTGTTAGTGACTTTTGACTGGAAGGTTGCGGACTGTGTTAGGTCACAGTGATGAGGACATGGGCTGCTTTGGAGCAAGCACGTGTATGGGCAGGCCTGGCCTCACAGCAGGGACACTCACGGCTGCAGCTGCGCTCGTATAGAAACGTGTGACATGAAGTCGAGTGGGTCCAAGGACAAGCTCCTTCCCGCCACGGGCTCCCTGGCCGCGTGTTGGCTTTGGCGCAGCGCGTGTGCTTCACGGAGCCGCAGTGTGTTCGGGCCGCGCGTTGGCCTGAACCACGTTTCCGTGGGCGATGGCAGCACCCTCCTGAGCGAGCTGCCCTCCTGGCTGACCTGGAGGCCAGCTGGAGCCCAGCAGCCCCCACAAGCCCCGAGCGTAGCTGCGTTTGCTTCTGCTGAAGAAGTTTACGGCGTGGTGTGGAGGGGCTGAAACAACCAGGCAGGTTTTGCCCCCCTGGCCACTGCTGTGGCTTTAGGCATGGTGGGCAGCTGAGCTCACCCCTCTCTGTGGACGGGACGAGGGCCTGCGTGTGGGGCAGGACTCCAGGCTGTGTGTGGGGCAGCCCCAGGTGGCAGGGCAGCGCTAGGCGCCTGCCAGACATCACCACAGCAGCACGAAACAAGCTCCCCTGCGCTGTAACTCGGTGGGAGTTTCCACCAAGGCCTCCTTATGTCTTGATTTCTGTCTGTTAAGTCAAACACTTCAGCATTCAGCACAATTTTTTTTAATGGCCTAGCAGATGCTCCTCTGTGGTTATAGCAAGTTTGGGTGCTAATAAGTAGGCTATAATTTGTGTTTGCTCTAGGCTAGCGGGTGCCAGTGCTCTTTACCAATTACCAAGGACTCCTTGCAGCTTGGAACATCTCTTTTACTCAATCCTTTTTGCTTTTACACCTGCAAGTTATCTGAATTGCTCGCTGTATACTGATAAAACACAGCAGGGGAGAAGAAGGGTCATTGTGCAGCTTGGATTTGACATTAAAAACAAAATCACAACAAACTCTCTCCAAGCACAAGACGTCCCAGAGGAGGCATCGTGGAGCTGGATAATGCTGGTTGTACATGTTACTTTCTGAAGCCTTTTAGGTCAGTTCTGAAGTGCAGCTCACATGGTGGAAAGAGGCTGCATCTCTGAACTAACCATGATGGAGGCTGCCTCTCCTTGCCCCCTTCATGCCTGAGCAGAGCACGTGCCCCAAGCTGCGGAGATAACAGATCTGCTTTGAAACGTTTCCTTTAAGCCTACAGGTCGTTATAAGTATCTTGCTCCTTGTGGGACAGCTCCAAACCTAGGCAGTGCGAGGGCACGTGTTTGTTGTGCAAAGGCTGATGCTTAAAAGTAACTTTCTTAGCCCAGTGGGACTGTTTGTGGGCAAAAGTCTTTTGTTCATAGGTCTCCATCCTGCAATAAGGCCAGATGGAAAACATTGTTTCTTTAATGAGATCTACACTGCATATATTGTACAAAATGGAGATGGTATTAATGGATTCCTCCTCTTCCTAACAGAAAGCCTGTAGCTACACAGTTCAGACTTGGTTTGCTGTAACTGGAATTCTGCATATGAGTGACCATAGGCAGGGAGAATGATTTTGTGTGGGTTAGGGCTTTTTGTTTTATTTGTTCTCATTTAGTGATCTTCATCCAAAGGAAGGTCTTAGGAGTTCATGTTGAATTGGAATTGTAGAAGTGGGAAAGCGCAAGTAGTTCTCTCCTGCAGACACGTCTGCTTTCTGATTAGTGCTGTAAATTAACCCGGAATCCTTGGTGGGATTGAGATGGTGCTGGCTGAGAGGGGCACAGTGGGCCAGTTGCTCTCCTGATTTATGTATAGAAGGTAACTGTCACAGGGTCTCGTGAGCAGAGAGCAGCATTCAATAGCCAGGGTGTCAGTATAAGGAGCAGCTCTTGTAGGGTTTGTCATTGGTCTGCTGTTCCTGCCAGCTTCTCTCTGGAAATGGGGCAGGATCAGCCCTTCCTGATCTACTTAGGAAATGCTGGGTTAAGGCTTTGCAAGGGGGACAAACTATGAGAGTGGGATAGCAGTGCATGTATGCACAGAAGATGCAAAACTGAGCAAGTGAAATTCGCTGGCAGGGGGAGACATGTTTCCTCCTTGGGGTGTTCTTTAATCGTTGCAGTGGCTTCGGAAGTGTTTGAGGACGATCACGGCAGTAGCTTTGTATCCGAAGAAGAGTCAGAAACGCAGTCGGTGTCAAGCTTCAGCTCCGGCCCCACGAGCCCGTGCGAGGTGCCCTCTCAGTTTCCTCCCACGACGCGGCCTGGAAGCCTGGATCTGCCCAGCCCCGTCTCCCTCTCCGAGTTCGGCATGGTCTTCCCAGCCCTAGGGCCCCGGAGCGAGTGCAGCGGGGCCTCGTCGCCCGAGTGCGACGCGGAACGAGGTACGCGCAGCCGCACGCGCCCAGGCCACCGCTTTTCGCCTTTGCACGGGGAGCAGGAGAAGCCCCTCAGCTGCCCTGGGCCTCTTGGCAGCTCGCAGTGGGGCTAGAGGTTCCTCAGGGAGTCAGTGATCAGTGGGATTCTGATGGCACACATATTTTAAGGAAAAACTCTGTTTATTTATTTATTTTTTAAATTGCTGTCCTACTTCCTGAAGATCGATCCTGCTTTCCAGAACAAATCAAATATGCTGCCAAAAGCAGCCTCCTAATGCGGGGCAAGCCTTTTCTGACAAATGCAGCCTGGGGGATTCCCAGTGCTCCGGGGTACTCCAGTTTAAGTCTGTTCACATTTGCTGAGGCAGCGCACAGGGTGAGTGCAGCTTGGAAGGCCAACTTGGGTTACTTTACACCTTCCTCCTGCTCCTGTGATTTTGTAAACTCTGGCTAAGGAAGCTGCGGGGGCACCTGCTTGAACCTTACCTTGCAGAGTGAAACGTGGTTTTAACATCCAGTGTAATGCTTTCTTTGCAGGGGATAGGGCAGAAGGGGCAGAGAACAAGACAAGCGACCGAGCGAACAAGAACAGGAGCAGCAACAGGAGCAGCGCCGCGGAGGGGCTCGCTCTGGATAACCGAATGAAGCAGCTCTCCCTTCAGTGCATGAAAATCAAAGAGGGAATATGCGCAGGCAGAAAAGCTGCCCAGATTGGCTGAGTCCTTCCTGTGCCCTACCCGGATTAATGGGAGTATAAATATTTATACATGAACTTCTGAGTGTCCGAAGAACGTCGTGCCAATAATACATGCCAAATCTTAAGCGTTTACTCTAAGAATTTTAAAACTGCACTAAGAAGTCTGAGTGATGCTGAGGGCTGAAGTTTTTATTCAGTAAATCCTTTGTGGGCCGGACGAGTTGTCAAACGTTGAAGCTGTGCTCGTATTTCACAGACTTTGTAAATTGTTTTGTAGCAGCCTGGCTGAAGCAATAACGAGTAACGTTCCCGTGTAAATTCATGCCGGTAGGGGTCTGAAATCTAAGCCAGACATTTGCAGTGAGCAGTTTGGCTTCAGTTTTGTAGAATTGAAATGCTCTTCTTTAGATACAGTGGATCTTTTGAGTGCAAGTGGCATATTCTTTAAACATCTGTATTTGTCTGTATGATGCTGAAAGTGTAGAAATATTTTGTATAGAGGAAAGCTGTTGCATGTGTGGGCCTAAAGGCCTTCACTCTTCCCTTGGTGCTCGCAGAAAGGATAAAGATGAGTCGTGCCCTCAAAAACTGGCATAGGAGAAAGAGGGAAACGGGCTGGTAACGCTCAGCAGTGACAGGCCCTTTCTAGCCACCTTGCCAAGTCTGCTTTGGACTCGAAGGGTGATTCCAGTGACCAAAAAGAGTTGCTTGGCCTCTCGCCCTTCCCCTCCCCTGAGAAGTAAGTATTCTTTTTCAGCACTTTAAGTGTTATTGCTCGAAAATGGGAGTCATAGATGTGTTCAGGACAGTTATGCTATGGGATTCACCCTTAAAATATGCATGAAGAAATGGAATTGCCAGTGTAGACTGACCATGTGTTCTTAAATTTCTCTGTAGGTTGTACTGTGTGGGGTTTTATAATTGTTAAAAGGACTTGAGGTTTTAGAATGCCCTAGAGAGTGTTCAATAAAACTAGAAAGGGCACGGGCATGTTTTGCCAGGAGCTGTTAGGCAGTAGTAGTATCCGGAAATTATGCTAATAAGTGGTAGTAAAAATCCTAGGACTCTTTAAGTTTTGGTGGCTAAGCATTTCTGAAAGCACCATTTTATCTAAAATGTCAGTTTATATTGTTAATTTGATGGGAATTTTAGTATTGCCCAACGTATTTTCTATTCTATGTTTTTGCAGTCCTGTTGTATTTTGTCCCTGCCACAGCTTGTGTATCTATTCTCAAAGTTAATGTAAAATTCTTCACACTACAGTAAACGTTTTTGTTTTTCACATTTCATTTGGAGTCTGTGCAAGCTGCATGTATCTCAACTGCTAAGTAAGTAAGTACTGAGTCTTTTCCCAAAGCAAATTTTGTCCTTAAATATCCTCTTGCTGGTAAAGATTCCAGAATTCCATAAGGCCACAAGCTTAGCCAACTTTTCAAAAAATCCTTAGCAGAAAAGAGGAAGGTTATTCTATATTATGTAACACCTCTTATTATGTTCTTAATACTGCTGAAATTTGCCAGAAGGCCATGCAGAATTGAAGGTAACTGGTCTTCAGAAAAATAAGATTCTGTAGATGAGAGATAGTAAGGTGAGACTTTGAGCCCATAGGGATTTACATGCTGAAGTAAGTGACCTAAAGACTGAACATCAGCAGCATTTCTCAGCTCAGCAAATGCTTAGGAAAGAAGTGGTGGATCCAACTTCAGAGGTAACAGTAACTTGGGAAAAATTCGCTTCCAGTATTAAATTTGAAATAAAAAGCAGTACAGAAGTGTTGCATTGTAGTAATAAGCCAGATAAGCTAGTGCCTGTGCAGCACACTTGTGTTTTTATATTTTTTCCCCGTTTTAAAGCCCCCCTTGGTATCTCCCTGCAGCTGGGGAATGACGGCTCTTACCTGCTGCAGGATACAGACCCAGGGCCGTAGCCAGGACTTGCAAATGCCCCAATCCTGCGTTCAGCTCCCAGGAGGGGAAAACCCTTGATCAGCAAGGGTCGATGCCTGCTCTTGCAGAAGCCAATAAAACAACTTGTTTCAGACTTCTTCCCTTGGCCAACCCAGCCCTGAGCGGGTAAATGAACACTTGGGCAAGCAAACAGGCAGAACTACAGGGCTAATTAAAGGAAAACTCATTTTATTTTGAACTTCCATAAAAGCCATAATGATAAATATGACAAATGAACTTAAATCACTTTAGAATACAGGAAAATGAGTAAGCTCTTTCCAGTTACTTTTCTGTTAGAATTCCTAAGTGTAACATGATGGGTACCAGGATGTATCTTCATGGGTATAAAAATAAACCTCTGATGTATGAAAGTGTGTTTACATGATCATAACAGGTAGAGTTGTCCTGAAGGGAGAATGTACTATAAAACAAGTGTTAACCCAGGAATCCTACTACTCTTTGGTATTTGGTCTTAAATGTCCTTTTTTGACTAAACAATGAGCACTACTATCTGTGCACAAACTTAATTAGAAATAACTGTCTGTTCAAACACCTCTTTTGGGATATGATCAGGTGCAAAAATCCCTGTACCAAGCAGGTACAGGGAACCTGCATCAGAGAACTAGGGCTGAATCTGGAGCTCATGGGGCAGATGTGATGGAAGCTAATATGGATAACATTCTTCCAGGTGTTAATTCTCAGCAAATATTTGAGAACTAATAGATTGTATCAACTATGGATTAACCCCATGTTTTCCTAGAAAAACAAAACAAAAAATTGAAGGGGAAATTTTACCCTGAGCCATAAAACAGCAGCATATGGTATCCTGCATGCAACTTTAAGGTAAGGTCACAAAATGCAGAAAAAGATTGCAGTGCATAAATAAGGATAATGTTAAAATAGCTGAAGAGGATATATCCAGTTGTTCCTCAGTACTCCTCATGTAGAGAAATGCAAACAAACAAAAAAACCATTTATTTGTAGGAGGCTTCTCTTAGTGACTAGCAAAGAAACTGCAATTCTCCTAAAAGCACCTGCCTTTCATTTAGTCATTTATCCCCACCCTTCTGCACTTAGGTAGTGGTGAGAACTGGCTGCTGTGTGACAGACAACAACTGAAGGGTGCAGGATCCTTGCTGCTATATTGTATCCTAATTTTTAGAAGCTTGAATTGCATGGTTAGAGGCAGAGAAGACTCAAGGCTGAAGCGTTATGCAGTCAGCTAACTGTAAGTATGGTGATGTGGCTCTGCAATGAGCTGACTCTGTTACTGTGCAGCGATCTCTGTTGTAAAAGTTGTATCTGTTGTAAAATCCAGGGCTTAATGCAGCATGTCACATCCTCTTGTCTTGTGGATCAAAATCAGTGTGTGGTATAGGGCAAAGATTAGATTTAGGGATCGGATCACTCGCCGGTAAGTTTTCTGGGGATGTGGAAAAATGATAGCAGTAGATATACTGACAGCTACCAGTAAAGCATAAGTGCATATCCAAACGTTATTTTTGTAAAAAGAAGAAAAAAAAGGGGGGGGGGGGCAAAAAACCCTTTTTTTCCAAAATTACTTTGTCACAACCAGAAACTAGGATTTATAGTAATATTTCCTAAGTGCCTGTGAGTTCTCATTCCTGTATACGGCAGGAAATGTGCAACAGTGATTCTCTACCGCACTAGATAGGCTGCAATATTTGGGTAGGACTTGCCTTATAAAGGACATTGATCCCGAATTTAAATTTTTACTTGCTGGGATGAGCCCAGTTCACTGATGTACTGTGTAAGAGGTGTTATTGTATCCTTGGGCGTAACAGCCTTTCTCTGGCCTTAGGAAAACACATCCATTCCTTGCTTATCAGTATGTACTAAAATACAACTGCGATACAGAAGGGAAGCTAAACCTCATGCTTGTTTCATCCTGCACTTAAATTAGCTGCATAAGTTCTGGCCGTTGGTCATGCTTAGATTAAAACCAAAACAACCCCCCCCCACACACACACACCTTACTGCAGCACAGAGAGTAACTACTGAACAGCAGCTTTTACCATAGCCAAGTCTTACTGACTTGATCTCAAACAACACAGAAAGTCCAAGTACTTTGTATCGAAAGGTGGAAGTTGGTGGCATCTGTCTTTTGTATTGTCAAAATTCATCTAAGCTGCCTGTCATATCTATCTCTAACTTCGTAGGTGATAAAATGCATGTATTGCCACCCTGGTTGAGGCTGAGCTAAAAAACTTAACACCCAGTTATAGCAAAAAGTGTGGTGAAGCAAATGAAATTTTAATTTTGTAACAGAGAACAGTCCTTGAGGCAACTGACTCAAGCTCCCCCAGGCCTGTGCCCATGCTGTTCCTGCACTGCTTCCTTACAACCCTAACCTGAGCCTCGCTTGGTTAACAAGGTAAGTCACCGTGTGACAAACTTGTCCTGAACTCCCTAACCCAGATGGAATTTGGAGTCCAGAAGAGCCTGCTTCTCCTTTTCAAGCTAGGCACTTGTCAAGCAGCTGCCTAATGAAAGAGATGAAACAAAAGGAAACTTGGGCTTTTGAGATGGGGCAGTAGCAGACTTCTTTAGGAATAATTTTAGGACACAACTTTCTAGTCCTTGATTTCTAAATGGCACTTGTACTCCAAAAATAAATTTAAACTACATTTTTTTTGTCCCCTGAGGAACTGCTAAACAAACCCAAATGACTAAGACTATCTTGGGAATGTTTCAAAAAACACCCTCTCTCCCAAAATGTCAGATCCTGTGGAGTTAGATGTCTGCCACATGGTTGCTCAAAAACAAAAAATACTGAAGAAAGTAATGTTAAGTGTAACATAATAGAAAAGGGTGCAGCTTAAGAGATGGTCATGTGTCATGATTAGCAAGCACTGCACTTGCAGGTGCAGCTTACAGGGAAGACTTTTAGGTGATCCTTCTGATACCTGTTTGACACTTACAGAAATGACAGGGATATACTCTTTGCTAGGACACTGATGGTAGCTAGTTCACCAACTCTTAGCATCAACAAATGGGACAGATTCAGCAGACAGGGAATCTTACAGTGCACCTCTGGGAAGAGCTTTTCACACGTGGTGGGGGTGCTGGTGTGTTATCCTGCCTGTATTGTACTGCTGGTCAGCTCTCCCCACTTCTAATGCTCATCCCTATCAACAGGGTTCTTAGCGCCAGCCGGACAAGAGAGCCACAGGGGACCTTGTGCTGTGAGACCATTAGGTGTTAAAATAATATAGGCATGAAAGAGCATAATGTGTATGAAGCCATCGCTTTTCTTTTAGAAATAATTTATGGTGGAACTCTGCAAGTCCTCACACAGCCTTCTCTTGCTTTACTCCTACATACATACTACAGACAAGCAATGGTAAAGTCAGCATGGAGTTTTGATTGTGTTCAATTCTGAACATATTGAGGAGGGGAGCTTTTAAAATGTTTTGGTTCTGAAACTGAATAAGTGCAATACACAAGAATATTATTTTCTTACAGGTTTACTTTTAAGAAAAAAAAAATCTTAATCCCATACACAAAGAGAATTCCCATGTGACTTTTTCCTCTTAATTCACCAGGTCTTGATTTGAAGTGTCAAAAATTTGAATAAAGGAAATCTTACATGTTCATTTGAGTACAAGGCTTTTAGCATGTTCACAAACCTGTTGAACAGTGCTCACTCTAATACTGGAGCAGCAAAAGCCACAGGTAACTGCCTACTGCAATTATTTGACAAGTTGGTGGCTCCATGGTGTTTGCTATAACTTAAGAGTGCAATTGTCTTTTATATATGTGGAGTCATCTGTTCTCAGGCTGCAGCATAAATCTTAACTACCTCCTTAAATGGCAATGCACAGACCTCTCTCCTCACTGAAGCTGTGATACCTTTAGAGGAGTAGCACTGTTAAAATCTAAGAAAAATGGACCTTCTTGTTGAGGCAGGAAGGTGGTGGGGATGATGTTGTAAATTCCAGCAAATATGTTCTCCACTTCCAAGTAGCAAAATCCACACCTAGGATAAAAGAAATTATTGGTTAATTAAGATCCAAAATAATGAAATCTCAGAGTGCTGAAACAGTAAGTGAGCTATTACCTGTAGTCACCACTATTCTTTTTCTGAAAGCCAGAGGTACCAGGATCTCCTACTGTTGAGACTGTGACAAGTTCAAAACCAACACTGTATTGCCTGTAAGTGAAGTGACAGGCTGTTACTTGAGTTTTTGTGGATGATCAGGATTATCATGAAGAGAGTGACTTATTAAAAGCTATGAAGCAGAACTGGAACACATTTGAAAGTTCTAGCATATTTGTGACAGAATTGCTAGTCAAACTTACTATAATATGAAAATAGACTT